GAGGGAGATATCGGGTCAGATAACCATTTTACATACGTGTAATGCTGCTAACTGCCATGAGAGTTGCAGTTTGTGCATAGCGCTTTCAGCACTCGGTAGTACAGGATTGGTGTAATCATGATGTTCAATGACCGGATTGAGTGTGATTGGTAGTAAGTACGTTTCTACATAGACAGCCTTGCAGGTCCAAAGCAGCTCCGTTGCTATGCGTGGATGGCCGGAAGCGCCAGGGCGTGCGAAGCGGTCATTGCTCCTATAAGGCCGGTCGGGATCAGGATACGATGCTAAAGCATACTCGAAAATGAGGTCTCTGAGTTCTTTCGGAATTGTTGTAAACAACGGAGATTCACTCTGCTCGTTGATATCACCAGACTCCAAAAGCTGGACAGCAAACGGTCTGGTATCTTTAACGTGGATTGGAGCTGTTGCGGGTCCGCGAGCACCTTTCCCACGGCGTCTTCCTCGCATAGGGTTCATCATACTGGCGCTGAGATGATTACAGCTGTGCAGGCTTCGGACGATTTGATAGTTCGGGTTTCCAGGCGCGCGATTGTAGGTTGTTCACCACGAGATAGGATATATTCAGAAGAGCGAGTTGGAAACATATAAGCAATGGCGGTCACTGCTGCCTTGATCTGCGCCCACAGATTCAGGTATGACTCTGCCAAGACCGCATAATTACCAGTGATGGAAGGTACATGGAAGTACTCATTATAAACATACAACCGTGAATGTGCATTTCGCTACAAGAGAACAGAGGAAGAGCTGGCTAAGGTAGCATCACACCAATCGCTTTCACACCTCAAGCACCCGATGCCCAGGCGGTGATTTGTGCACGTCGTTGCCAAGATTGCATAGTAATGCACAATAATGCAACAATCAGCTTTCACGTTCGGAATCTGCTGTGGCAGGATTTTCTATAAGCGTGCTATAATCCATTTCCCAGATCATACCGCGAATTTCTGCTTGTTCATTTCAGCAGCATCTAGAGCTGCCTTTTTGACAGCTTCCTCTCCAACCTCATCAAAGATGTCGTAGCCCCATCTTGCTGGGAAGTTGAAACGTTTATGCCTCTCGAGCGAGTTGAGCACTGCGTAGGCGTCGTCAGGCAAACGCTTGACCTTCAGATTGGATGCTATTCTTGAAGGTGTCACGCTCTTTGGGAGCACCACTGTTCCTCTTTGTACGCCCCAGCTTCCCAGCACAACGCCGGGGTCCATTTCCAATCTCTTAGCGACCTCATGGACCAGAGGATCGTCAACTGTGCGTGGCTCGCCAGTCTGGTTGTTTCCCAAAGGAGAATAGGCCTGAAGTACGACGCCTTTGTCATGGCAGTATTTGAAAAGGTCAGGCTGCGTAAGGTAGGGATGTGCCTCGACCTGGTTGGCTGCAGGAACGATATCAATTTTGGAGATCAGATCTTCAAGACGACGGATGTTGAAGTTGGATACTCCGATCGCCTTGACCTTTCCTGTGTCGAGAAGCTTCTCCATAGCCTTGTATGTAATCACATAGTCGATGTCGGCGAGTTGAAAGACACCTTGTTCGTCAATAGGAAACTTGTTCTCGCCGCTTTTGAGCGCACTGGGTAGTTGTGAGCCTGTAAGTGTTGATTCATCGTTCTGATTCCTGTGCTTACACGGGCCAATGCATCAAATACAAATCAACATAATCGACACCGAGATCTTTCAAGCTTTGGTCGAGGGCAGGCTCAACATCCGCTGGAGCATGCTTGTTGTTCCACAGCTTGCTGGTAATGAATATATCCTTCCTCGGTATACCAGCCTTGCGAATGCCCTCACCAACCTCAACCTCGTTACCATATACTGCAGCACAGTCAAGATGGCGATATCCCTCCTTCAGCGCAGTCTCAACAGCGTGCTCGACTTCATGGGGCGCAGCTTGCCATGTGCCAAAACCGACGACCGGGATCTTAGCCCCAGTGTTGAGAGTAAAGGTAGTAGGAAGCTCTGTAGCGGGTTGGGACATGGTTGTAGTAGCAGTAGTGGTGGTGATGGTGGTGGTGATTTCCTTAGTGACTTGACTATGTATGAGCAGTGAAGGAATGTGTAGAAGAGCAAGCCGCAGCGGCAGCTCGATCGTCTTGTATAGACGCCATCCTTGGGACTATAATGTTACACCGCGATAGTATGCCTCTAGAGGCTGATCATACATCATACAAATACGTTCTGCGGTGCACGCCGCACAGCGTCTGCAAGAAGTGACCGAAACAACCATTGGATTTCCCCACAAACGGAGTGTTTCCGCCGTGTGCACAGGCACGACAGGTCAAGGCTCGGATTCTTCGTCATCGTCTTGATTTATTAATCCGCACCTCCCCCGCCTCTTCTGGCGGCGTCGGATACAGAAGCCCGGAACAGTTGCGCAAAGCGATGAACAATTCGGTCATTGCGAGAAACAACAACGAACGACGAAGTGTCTCACGACCACACTCTTCCGCACGTGCGGCATCATCTGGCTCACAGAATGAACAGAGTGGAGACGATGGGCAACATGATGATCATCAAAGCAAGAGACGCAAAGTAACGCGAGCATGCGACACTTGTAAGAGTAAGAAGAAGCGTTGTACAGGTGATATACCATGCTTGCCATGTACGCGAGCAAGCCAGGAGTGCACTTATAATGCTCAATATGCGCGTGGTGCAGCCGTGAACCCCTTGGCTTCGACGCTTCGATCACCGCAAGTTCTTGAAAGGGCAGATCATAGCAGGCATGTTCGCATTTCTATTCCACAGGATAGACAAAACACTCCAACAGTCACACCAAACCCTACAAGCCGTCATGCACCTGCTCCTCCAGCCCACTCGTTTCCACCATCAAGGAGGCTCTCCCCTGAAACTGGAGTTTCTACTGATGCTACCGGTCAATACTACGGACCTACCTCAACTCATTCGTTCCTTGGGATTGCTTGGCGTAGATTCAATCACAGCCAACCACAACAAATTTTGACGCCGCAGTCCGATTTTGATGCAACTACCAGTGTCTCTATCTTCTCCTTCGGAGATCGCGTGGTGGCGAACGTCGCCTTAAGCGGATCCAGCTGGCCCGACCCTACCCCTGCTCACACGCTTGTACAACGGTATTTCGATTTCGCAGCTCCAACTTATCGAGTCCTGCACCGAGGCACAGTCGCCTTATGGGTCGAACGAGTGTACGGTCAGCAGGATATGCAGCAGGGCATCGATCAGCGAGCTACTTCGGCTAGGCGAATCTCCTCAGCAGCGCGAGGGATTGTACTCATGATATTCGCAACGGCTTCCATGTTCAGAACAGACATGGAGGGGAACTTGCGGGACGCCGATGCAGCGGGCTGGAACGAGAGCGAGCAATACTACCTCATGGCGCAACACGAGCTCTCGGAGGAGGGAGGTCCGCCGACCGTTGAATCAGTACAAGCTCGCTTCATGACCGTACTGTATTTGCTAAGTTCTGGAAGAGCCAACAAGGCTTGGTTCACACACGGCACAATGGTACAGCTCATGATGGCCCTAGGCTTACACAGGAGGCGAGTTATAGCCAACGATAAGCTTGCTGACAGGATCTCCACGGAATGCCAAAAGCGTGTATTTTGGTCGGCTTACACAGTGGACAAATATCTGAGCTTAATGCTAGGCCGACCGCGTCTGTTGCACGATGAAGATATTGATCAGGATTTTCCTGAACAACTCAACGACGAAGATCTCACGGCGGGCGAGGCACACGCAAAGTCGAAGAAAGATTGTATCATGGATGCTGCAATCTTCCACTCTCGCCTGTCACAAATAATTGCTCGGGCTGCTAAAGAGCAATACTCCATCCATCAGATATCTGACCATGAACAGGTTGAAGCGTCATCCCATCGATTAGAAGACCTTGCTGTTTGGAAGAGACAGTTACCGACACTGTTATCCGGGGCGATACAAGCCACGAGCCTTGTTCCCGTCTTTCGAAGGCAACTCAATATGCTCAGTGTGGCCCACTTTCATGCTGTGATCTTTGTTACCAGGCCGCTTCTTCTGCGGGATTTCTCCAAAACCCTGCCACAATGTGCTGTTGAGTATCGCAACCAATTGCGGACCTGCGTGAACGCCGCGAAAGACCTTGTACATCTCATCATGACTTTCGTGCAAGCTGATCAGCTTTTCCCCGCCTTTTGGTTTTCTCAATACACTGCCTTCAGCGCTTTGTCGATCATCTACATATACCTGATCCAAGTCAAGAGGGAGCAGATCCCGGAAGACCTGGAGCTGGATCAAGAATCTCTCCTTGAGCTTGCCGAGCTAGGGCAGCATCACCTTGCGCAGGCAACGGCTAGGAATGCTCCTACGTGGGAATACAGCCTCATACTCGAAGGACTACAGAACGAGACGAATCGCTTCATGAAGCCAGTGGTGGAGCGAATTGATGTCGAGCAATCTTTGCCTACCAGCATCGATACAAATAGGGACTACATCAACGCAGATTCTGAACTTGAACCCCGAACAACATACCCTGAAAATGGCATGGTAGACACCACCAACTTAGAGACGTTTGGTCGTAACACAAATATACTAGCACAGCCCACTAGCTTCGGATCAAATATCGACTTTAGGTCTTACGAATTTCGAGCTGACAACACCAATTCCATGCTCGGTTTTGACTTTTGGCCGCAATTTGATAGCCTGCCTCTGTGTAAGCAAGTGTCGAAACCTCGGACAGAGACGCACTGACATCTCTCAGCGTATTTAGGACTCCATGATGGTACAGGAGGAGTACAACCCTAACGTCTCGTAATACTGGTGCCAGACGGTCAAAAGCACCATTCGAGCATCGAGCAGCACGCACCTGGCGGAATCCCGCGAAAATGTTGGCATAGATTCTAGACACTGTATAACACTGATGGATCATCGACCATTGGTTCAAGCAAACCACAGAAACAAAAGAGCTGCCGGATACAAACCGGCGGACCAAGCAATGCACCACCTACTCGGCACCTAAATAGGAGGGAACAAAAATCATGTTTCCCATGCGGGGAATCGAACCCCGGCCTTGTCGGTTCTCAGTGTACCAGCACACTTGAAAGCGACAAATCCTAGCCGCTAGACCACATGGGATCACGTGACGAGGTAAGGTGGATTTGTTCAATATATTCATAAGGGTACATGTGGTTCAAAGCTTCCTGCCGTGCCGGAGGTATCTGGCGCGCCAACGTTTACAAAACCGCTGCGGACGGTTGAAATATAGTCAATAGTCTAAATCGAATGTCTCGTCACTCTACATCTGGACCCAGCGACCCGCTCCTCAAGGCTACATGGGTAAAAGGGCGCGTGGACAGCAGCTATATTCGCACCAAGCACACGAAAAAGACGGAATGTAAAGTCATCATAAAGATTTGTAATTTTTGAGAAGTATATACAGTGAGAAAGGCTTTTTGTCCTTATGAACGATCGACGTCACAAATCTAGAAGAAAAAAACGCCATTGAAATCTAAGTTTATCGCGCCAGCGATCTGGTGGCGCCGCCTATCGTCAACGATCATTAAAAATTAAAAATAATCCCGCATATCCTTTTCGATATGACCGATGGAAAGGAAATGCGAGAGGAGGGAAAGAGTCTATGAGCATTGGTTGGGGAACATGCGCTGGGTGATTGAGTCGGGACCGATGACACCGTATTCGACCAGGTTGCGCATGCCCCAGGCTCCGGGACCCTGGTAGCTCCAGATGAACCAGCCTTCCGAGTACTCTTCGAAGACGTCGAGCTGGGCCTCGAGGAACTGTCTGGTGGCGTTGACGAGGTGGGCGTTCCATTGCGAGGTGTCGGTGTTGGCGGAGCATTGGCATCCGGTCGTGGAGCAGCTGGTGCCCGCCGTGACGGTGCCGTTTGCATCGACGCAGATGTTGGTTTGATCCGAGAACTCGCCGACCATGATGGGGAGGGTGGTCGAGTTTGGCAGGAATTGTGTGGACTTGTAGTTGCAGACTTCTGCGATGTGCTCGGCCTGAGTCAGGGCGTTGTCGGAGGAAGCCTGGTTCTGGTACAGATGAAGGTCGAGGTAGAAGGTGGGCTCTTCGCAGTCGTCGTTGATGGCTGCTCCGATCGATTCCCAGTCTGATGCTCCGACAAAGGCATCGTGCATGATGATCTTCAAGTTTTCATTATCAGCGAGTCCTACGAGGGCATCGAATGCGTCCTTGGCCCACGAAGAGACGTCGCCGAAGCTGGCAGTGTCATAGACGACGGGCTCGTTGACCAGCTCGAGACCCCAGACTACATCAGCCCAATCGGTGGTTCCGTACTTCTGGACCATGGTTTCGAGAACCTCGATACTCAATTCCATGTTGCCGTCATCGCTTGTTGAGATCCAGTTGGCAGTACCACCGTGACCAGAGTTGTCAAATCCATTCTGAGAACCAGGAAGACCGTGAGCGCAAATGAGAGCCTTGATACCGTGAGTTCTACACCAACCAAGGGCCTGTTCGAGATATGCATCGGCGCCAGAAATGTAAGGTGTTCCAGTGTTGTTGTATGCCCAGAATCCGATGGGAATGCGGATACTGAGAAGATGTTAGTAAGATATTAATCAATATATGGTTGAGCCAGACGTACGTGTTGAGTCCGAAGCCAGCGATTGCTTCAACATCAGATTCCTGAAAGTAAGTCGACCAATGCGATTGCAGTGCGGCCTCGGCTCCGTCCGTCTGGTCAAATGTCCACTGATCGGCAGCACCATTCATAACATCATAGTTCATGTAGCTTTCCATGATGAGCCAACCGCCAATATTCACACCACGAATGCCATCGTCAGAAGTGGTGTCACGAACCGCGAACTCATTTCGTTCGACCTTGGAAGGAAGGCCTTGGACCAGCAGGGCCTGAATAGCGAGTGAAGAGAGTAGTGAATAAACGAGGGAAGACATTATGATTAATAGTAAAGAAAGTTTTGGAACGAAGGGAGGATCTTGTAGAGAATGGAGATCCTGTAGCGCAAGAAGATCTGCGTTGTTGCTCCTACTTTGGGAGAAAGGATCTGGTTTTCTATTATATAGATGCCTGCTGAAACGCGACTCGAGTCTGGATGAAGAGTTGCGAGACATTCAGGTCGGGAGATGCTTCCCATCGTCCTCATACTGAGACATCTTGGCGCTATCGACGGCTACAGTATAAACGGTTGTAGTTCGATCTGGCGAGGGTCTTCCACCACCAGACTCCTCTCGAACTTGAGATCCGGATCATGCGTTGAGGACTGTTCATGGCTGGGACTCGCACACTGCATAACATGATACGACCATTAGCAATCGTGTTGGCAATGATATGAGGCCTGCATTATGCCACGACTATATCATAAACGAGTCTTCGCGTTGTCACAACCACGATAAGCCACAAGACTCTGTGCTATGAAAATCGGCGAGAGGGCGTCAGCCCTACCAAACGGTTTTGATAGAAACGTCCCGGCAATCTATATATCTACCGTCATGATGCCATGGCTTTCATATTGGTATTTCGCGCGATCACATGCTTTCCAATGTTGAGGATATTTATGCAGATGAAGAAGAGCAAAGATATTGATTTGTATAGCGAAACCAACAGCAGTGAAAAGCCGCGTGTGGAACCAACGAAGGAGAGTTGTTGTGGTTGATACAGGCAGTCCGAGCGATCGCGAGGAGATACTCAAGTCAAGATTGGCTTTGCCGAGGCACTGATAGAGCTCCAGACCAGGGTCCATCGATACTGCCGAAACCAGTTAGATCTGGAAAGCTCTGCTGTGTCTGCCCTACAGACGGTCGAGGACTTTGGAGATGCACACAATCGCTGTACCGTTGCAGCTGAATGTCTCGTACAACGCCGATTTGAGTCTCAATCAGGATCAGGGGTGCGATTCTAGGTTGTCTGCGTGCCCTTTCAGCACAACTGTTAGAAGTCGTCGTCAACATGCATGAAACATAGGCATGATTTGAAAGCGGTCATTCACAAGCACGCGTGGCACGAAAGACAGGCACAAGATGTGGGCACGATCGATTACGTGGTGAAGTGAGCGTTGTCCCAACTTGGGCGATACAGATCTGGGGTGGATTGTTCTAGCGCATTTTGTCAACCAAGGCTGTAAGAGACGCGAATTGGTCATTGCAGAACTTCCCCAAAGCTGGGCGGTGCCGATGAGGGTTCTTTCGGCAGATAGCGAAAGAGAGAGCACAGGGAACTGGCTCGTGGGGTCGGAATAATATGGTAGTCGGCGAATGCCGATATTTGTCTGCCCTTCACCACGTTTGCAACTTCGATATAGAGTTTGCAAATTGCAAATTATGTGCTATGATGCATTGTGTTGAGAGAGACTGCTGATATTTGATTTGACATAGGAAACTATATAAAGGGTATTAGGCTATTACTACTTCATCCTGCTCAGCGAAGAACGAATCTGCTCCAGAGCAATGATTCATCTACTTCCGCGAGGTAGGATTCCACGAAGAATACCCAATGATTTCACGAGCGTGGGCATATACACCTATATCACTGTCAGTTCCGCTCATCCTCCATAGTCTCGTCTATATATGCATGACTCACCCATCGTTGCGTTCAGAATTAGGTATGGTGTGTATAAGATTGAGAACAAAACCATGGATCTCCAAGAAGTGAACTCGGAGCGGGCGAGGTCAGTAACGTAAAGAGTAAGGATCAAACAGACAATTCTAAGAAACGATCAGCATACTGCAAGAGTGAACCTTGACTGGAAGGTGTACTCACGTAGAGAAAAGAAACCACTCAGCCAAAGGATAACGGAAGAAAATGAGCTTGATAAACTCCTTCGGGTTTTTGGGCCAGCCGATGATGACGAAACTGAGAAGGAGACAGGTGTGTCTGGCAACGTGATTAGATTTTTCGTTTTGTTTGCAGTCAGGAAAAATACGTACTGTGTAACGAGATAGTAACTGATCTCTCGAACAATAAGCAGAGAGAGGAGACCATAACGTTCGCTTAGAGTCCTCTTTTTTCCTGGAGGATTCTTCCAGATCATTGACACATGTCTGATACTCGCCTGCGGGAGGTCAGTAACCACAAAAAGCAAATCAAATCAGTGAAAGAGCAGCATACCTGGGTCCAGCCCTGCGCCCATCTCATGCGTTGTTTCCAGAAAGCCTCCCAGAAAGTTGGAGCCATCTCAAAGGACTTTACGTTCATGTCATGAACAGCTCTGCGTCCTTTTCCGTAGGCTCGAAGGGCGGAGTCGATATCCTCACAAAGCATGTGACCGTGCATTTTGTGTGGGCGAAGAAGTTCAGTCTTCCAGTATCCATTTGAACCACAGAACAATCCGAAACCGAACAGACGAGATCTTCCAGGATGCGAAACGGCATAGATTTTATCGAATTCAATGGCAATCATCTTTGTGAACCAGTTCTCATCGGTATTGTAAACGACGCAACGACCTTGAACGATGTCGACTGTCTTGTCCGAAATGAAACGCTCCGCTGCCCATCGCGGGTTATGAGGATGTGGGAAATGGTCACAGTCGAAGATGGCAGTAATGTCAGCACCAGTGTCCAAGGTAAAGAAGAAATTCAAATTGTCGGCTTTCGATTTAGAGCCAACAACTTTAATGACTCTGAGCATTGGATTGGCTGCTTCCATTTCGAGCAGCTCCGTCTCGAGAGGCTCAATTGGTTTGGGAGAGTTGTAAACGAGGCAGATACGAAGCTTGTCTCGGGGGTAGACTAGTTCATCAAGAGCATAATTCACCTGTCAAGCAACGTGAGCATATACAATTTTGAAGTAATCTCGAGATTGGCGACTTACCTGATCCTTGACAATATCTCGCTCGTTGGGGAGATAGGCAACGATGACGATATCCATGATGGGCATCAATTCATCTGGAGATGGAAACATGCCAGAGTCCTCCACTCTGATTGCCGCTGCTCTTGCGTCCCGTAGAGGTGACACACCCAAGAAAGCTTCCACGACTGTGCAGCAGGCGACGTAGAAATTGACCGACATGTAGAAGAAATAGAAGATTTTGATGACTTCCTCGTTCATAGCTGTGTATAAGCAAGTGCAGGCAATATAGTATGTGGCGACAACAACGAAAGGAGTCCAATCGAACATCAAGTTCGAGATCTTT